GGCAAAGCCAGGTACGGCCCAGCTCATCCCGAGCTTCCAGGTGTGTTTTGGGGTTTTTTTTGTTTGGTAATTAGAGGAGGAGAACCATGGGCTCCAGCTCAACGGATCTTGGCATGGGGGGCTCTTCCAGGCTCCCACAATGGTTGAGTTGGTGCCTCCCTTTGCTTCAGTGGACAGGGCAGCTGTGGTGTGGCAGACCGGCCCTGGCATCCTCCCGCTGGAGCTAAAGCCCTTGCCCACCCCACACCCATAAGAATTCTGGGCCCTGTTCACTTACGGCTCTCCTGGCTTTCCCCGTGACAGCGCTCTGGGTGCAAGCTGTGCCTGTGGCCGGCAGGACTTCCACCCTCAGCCCCTGTTGAAGGGATGGGGCACAAATAACCTGCTGCTGCCCTCTGTGGTTTGAGCACCACCAGCAGGACTGACGCCACTGCCCTCTGCCCGCAGGAACGGCTTTCCAGACGCGCACTATCTCCGCGAGGTTTGTGCAGTACTGAAGAAACTGGGCATCGCCTGAGCCTGAGCAGCCACAGCCTCTGCCTTCGCTTCACCTCCCTTCCCAGCTGACAGAACTTGCAGCTTAACACAGACAGCTCGGCAAAAAGCAGCTGTTTGTCCGAGGAGCTCCTGTGTCCCCAGCGGCAGCCAGAAAGCCGTACCTTAGGGACGGCAGCGCCTCTCCCTACCTCCCGCACGCCTCGGCACGAGCAGAGCTTCCCTGAAACTCCAGCTCCTCCTGGGTGCGTGTCCTCACCAGCACAGCTTGTTTCGACACCAGCTCCAGCCCTGGCGTGGCTTTCAGCGGTGTAACCCAAACCCAGGCAGGAGCCTCCCTGTAGCCCAGCCCCATCTTCTGGGAGTCCCTTCCCCCTCCGGCCACGGCAGGTTCCAGCTCAGCCACCACCAGAGCCTGTTCCAGAGCTGAGCTGTCGTTAACTTCAGCCGTTCGCTCAGAGATTTCAGTCCTGGAGCAGACAGCCCCCAGACACAGACCCTCCCCAGCACCTGCTCTGGGGACAGTGGCCACCGACGCTCTCCTGGGGACAGCGGCAACAGCACTCGGCGCGAGAGCTGCCTCCCACGACAGTACATCAGCAGGGACAGGCACTAGTGAAGAAACACAAATAAACAAGATTTATTCCCCATGGTTTTGAGTACTGGTTGTTCATGCTTTCTCTCACCATCACCCCAGGTACCCATTTTGATCTCAACAGGCTACAGAGAAACCCCGACACAGGGTAAAGCACAGGGGCCAGCAAAGGGCTTTGCAGCAAAAGTCGCCATAGCTGCCCTCCAGAACAGGGTGTTTGAAGATCAAGGCAACAATTAACAGTTGTCCTTGAGAGCAGAGGCATCTGCTCAGCCTGGGAGAGTCAGAATTTATAAACTGAATGTGTCCAACAACTGACTGCCTAGAGAAGCAATGGAAGTGCTCCAGAGGCTGAGCTGGGGGCAGAGGGTTCGTTCCAACAAAAGACTGAGCAGCATACCCCTGTGGGTTTTGTTATGCTTTTAATTAACATTTGAAACACATAAGGCATATGGTAACATTAGACAGGAGCATTACACATTATAGTCATGTAAACAGCATTGGCACACTTGCTTTCTGTCCAACTTGGTTACACGCACAAAGCAGAATATATTTTTTAAACAAAGATTTTCCATGTGTCTGTAGGATGAGTATCACTCATATCATGTATCTGCAAATCAACACGACTCAGACAGTACAGACCAGACCATATGTTGTAAGAGGCTCAGAGTCTAATGCATGTCACATCACACTCATGTACTACTTGCCAGTCACATTTGCCATCACCAGGGCTTAGCACACTAGAGACTTCATTAGGCAGCAAGAGTGGTTTTACACCTACGACAGCAGCTGTAAGTGGGCCAGGATCCTGCACCAATTAAAGCCTGAGGCCCACGATGCTTCTTGCTTCTCCCTGGTCAATCAATTCTGAAATGAAATGTACAGCTGAACTCCTTCCCCCATCTCAAAGCACTCAGCTGGGGCCGTGTTCCTCTGCGCAAGCCGAGGCTGCGTCCTACCTCCTGCGGTTAGCGTGCGACACTAGCAAGCTTGAGAGAAACCAAAGAGTCAGAAACGTGACAAAAGCTGCCTGGTGATAGCAAAGGAGTTGCATTTTGTTCAAGAGCAGCAGTGCCGGTCTGGGAAGGCGACTGCAGTAGCGACGCAGGAGTGTCACTCGCCCCGGCACCCCGCGCTGCGCAGCCCCCGCGGCCGTGGGCAGCGCCGGGGACACCGCTCCTCTGCGCACGAGCTCCTTACTCACGCTCTCCACTTGGGATTCCTCACGGCACCACCTTTGGGTCAGACAATCAGTAAAATAAACATTAAATTGCACTTCTGATAGCTGGAATGGCACACACAATTTAAGCACAGAAATCTCCCGTTTCCTCAATAGCACAACTTCGCCCTAAACAACACTTAGCAACACTGAGTGGAATGATTTTATCTTAGGGTTTTTGTTGTTTTTTGCTTTGGTCCTTAGTATACAAACCTGCTGGTTAACTTTGAGTTAAGACACTTGAAGTTGTTTTACATAGGTTCTATAATTATTGGCCCATAAATTGTTTTGTCCATTAAAAATGGTAAAAAAACCCAAAACCAAAACAACAACAACCAACCCCAACCACCTGGAGCGGAGCGATCAGTGAGGCAGTGAAGAGCAAGGTTACCTCTAATCTTGGTCTTTCTGTAGAAAACATTGTTGCTACCAAAGGACGTAAAACAGCTAAACTCTCACAAACTGTAACTGCTCAGCGCTCCCGCCCTGATAAGGGCTTCAGGAATTCATAGGTAGAAGATACAGGAGCAGCCACCTGAGGAGTGGGGAGCCGGGATTGTTTCTGGAGAGCCAAGGCTGGGGAGCAGATAAAGCCTCACTCGAGGACTGGCCGGAGCCAAACAGCCGCCCCGGGGAGACCGGGGCTCTGCTCCGGCTCTTCTGGAGCGGGGAGCACAGAACGCCCAGGACGGCCCTGGGAAGGCTGCGAGACACGGGGAGGGACTGTTCCATTCACAGTAAGTCAGACTACACCACCAGTGTTCACAAAACAGAGCTAACGAGAGTCATAACAGGTTTTTGGCAATACTTCGAAAGGCCAGAATGGAAAAGGCTCCAGTGACTTCCCAGTCCTTACAGGCATGTAGAAGAAGGCACCGAGATACTGTTTTCTGCGGCGTACCGCAGGGCAGCGTGTCAGAGTGTCCTACGGAAGCTGCAACACTCCCGCTCTCCTCCGTCACGCCGCACCGCGCGGGACAGACTGCGAGCGCCTCGCTGCGCTGCCCGATCCGAGGCCATCCCAGTAAGGCACCGAGCCGAGAGTAAAGCAAGGAGAGGATGTTACCGCGAAACACAGTTTGAGAGTTTTCCCCTTTACAAGCGTGCAGAACCTGAAGATGTGCAGGGCTGTGCGCCATTTGAGCACGCTGCTCTTTCATCAAGGTGAAGTCCCGTTTCTCAGGGGAACAGGTCCAGACTTCCCATTTCAGCAATTTAGACAGTCCTTCTGTTGTCAGACCTGGTAAAGCAGCATTAGACACTGTTGGATTTAATCTAAATTCGCATGACAGGGCGGGTTGAAAGGAGAAGCAGCAAGATTTTGGATTCAGAAAGGTTAAAAGTTGTGCTTGTAAGTTTCATCACACCACGTTCATGAAGTTCACGTACCAGTGCGAGAGATGGACTGACACGGATCTGACAGGGCTCCAGCCCTCCTCTGAAGTCACAGGGAACTGGGCTGTCTTAATACTTAACATCAGGCAGGGCCAGTCCCGTGAAGGCTGTGCCTACACGATTCTAAGAGGTGGCAGAACTCGGGGCTGAACCGAAGCACCTGAAACACCGCACCGAGAGAAGGGGGCCCCACTGGAGGACAGAGCTGGCCGAGGAAGAAGCCACACTCCCCACCGGCACAGGAACCCCCCACCCTGCACAGGGCTTGGCTGCTTGCGGGTGACGAAGGGGCTCCGCATACGGGGCCCTCTGCCCGGCCAGCGCATCCCCCCGTGGGGTTTGGTTAAGCAGGACTCCTGGTAGCAAGGTTTGGCTCCTGGGGCCTGAGCTCCTCCATGATGGGCAGCTCTTCTTGGCGCCCTCAGGTTTACCTTTTCAAACCCAAAATGAAGCCTAGAAGCCCGCAGCACCCACAATCCATGGCAAAGCCTCAAAGCAAGCACAAACAGCACCACGGTCACTCAGGGCTGAAAACGGGGTCCAGCAGGACAGAGGGGTCACCACCTGGGACATTAAGTGTTCACAGAACTAGGCTCGGGTCTCTGCACAGCAACGTTTCCAAATGCATGGGGGAGAGAAAAGAGGAAGAGAAATGGAGTTCTGGTCTGGGAGGAGCACCACAGGCGGTCCTTAAACCCTCGGCGCTGGAAGAGAGCCCAAAGGTCCCCAGACTTGCAGTTTCAGGGGAAGAAGTGTCAAGCCCTCCTGCAGCACCGAACCACAAGGTGAGAGCTCGTCAGAGTGGGTATCTAACGAGCTCTGCAGAAGAGTACGGAAAGCACAACTTAAACTGCTCATGATGCCCAGGCGAGAGGCTCGACACAGGGCTGTGTTCACCACCTGCACTGGTAACTGGCGATAGCTTTACTGGGTGGTGCCCCGCAGACAGAGCCGGCCCGGCTGCACGGAGCCATCGGACAGCACTGGCTCTCGCACGTCACTTCCCAAACTGCAACCCCTCCCTGGCACACAGCGCACAGCACAAAGCAAGCATTAACAGGCGCTTATTTTGTTCCCATCTTGCTGAAGTCCGATTCAACACTGCAGCACTTGGAAATACAAACACAAGGGTGAAGTTTAGCCTTAACAATACCAGCTGGGAGCCCAACATTAATAAAGCACAGAGCCAACATCCATTGTTCCAGTCGTTTGAGACACAGTTGAGTCCTTATGGTCTCTAGAAATCAGACACAGTTTAGATCTCCCTACGCAGTTTGGAATCAGAAAATGGACAAGATCAAGTTACCCAATTGAAACTTTTTTTCTGCATTCACAGCTCAGCCTGTCAGGTTATTTGCTGACTGCACAGAGAAGTGACTGAAAATTCAGTGCAATACGCCACAGACTCCGAAACGCCAGGATGGTTACTTACAAGGCAGAGACAACGCGACCTGTTCCTATCTGACTGGTGTTAGAGGCCAACGAAAGCAGAGGGGAAAGAGCGTGGTTGGTGTAAACAGAGGAGCAGCCCGTGCTAGAATGAAACCAGGCCAGCTGCGCTGTTCCTCTGGCTGCTGAGGACACATCTTAAGATGTGCAAACACGTCAGCAGGGCTCAGACTCTGTGGAGATACTTGGCCGCTGCTACAGTATGTTATTATACCTTGACTTTACGGTGACGGGCTATGCAGTTGTTAATCACCAACTGCCTGGAAGCTTCAGCTGCACTGCCAGAGAAAAGTCAGGTTAGTTTGGAAATTCAGTAGAAAAACAAGTGATTAGAGAAAAGTATGAAATAAACAGGCTTCAGAACACAGAGCTGGGGCAGGAGGCATATCTGGCAAAGGGTCAGTCACAACGAGAGCATGCAAACCTCATCTGAACTTTAACCACAATGTTCTTGTACTGGTGAATTGAAGATGGAAGCTACCGATCTGTCCATTTCCAGGTCCCAAAGATCAGGGAGTTAAACCATGAATTCACAATCTGCACACATCTCTTCTCTTCTCCTTAGTTCTCTTCTTTTTTGGATTCTTCCTTAGGTGCTTCAGGAACCAGGATGACCTTTCCAACATTCTTCTTCTCTTGCATCTGCCTCATGGCATCTGCCACCTGGAAGCAACAGGGATCTGGTGAGACCCACAGGCACCACGCAGTGCGGTTGTGCCCTTCCTGCGCCCCTTGGTCCACCCAGACCAGTCTGAGGGCCACCCAGGAGAGAGCTTCCCCAGCAGTCCAAGGCAGTGCCAAGCATTTGGGTGCCTCTGCACAGATGCATTTTGGACAGAGCTGGGCAGCTACCCCAGCCTGCCCGTAGAAAGCTGTCCTCAAGAATTCACATAGACCAGGCGTAACACACACACGGATGCTCTGCTGCGCAAACCCTGGAAGAATGAAGTGTGTGTCACCACAGCTTCCTTTCCAAGCAAAGGGGAGCACTGCAGGAACCCATTCAACAGCCAGAAGGATAATGCCTCTACCATCTACACAACCACAGAACAATACATGCACAGATTTTTTTTTTATTATTAGTATTTTTAAGCAAAACAGCACCTGGGGCAGGCCTGGAATCAACAGATTTTTCCTTAAGCATTTGCATCAGACTAGTTCTCAGGTACTAACAGCAACTGATTATTACCAAGTCTTTTGCTCCCCTGCAATAAGTCCTACCCCAGCAAAGGATTTCCAAGGGAAGAACCTGACTCTGCCTGGACAGGCTGATGGAACAACACTGACCACAGCAGAGCTGCTGAAAAACCTGCCGCTGCCGTCCAACACCCTCATTCTGCTTCACTGCCTGGGTTCTTTTTTAACGATGGAAGGGCAGCAGCAACGGTCCCAGCTGTCTGCTTAATTACAGAACGTAGACTCAGGGCGGTCCCCAGTCTGATGCACAACCCAGCCCCTCTGTGGGCTGCTGCTGCCCGCGGAGCGCAGCTGAGCACCCGCACTATTCCACCGGGACGCTGTCTGGCACTGCCCAGCTCTGTGCACTGGAGCAGAAGAGCCCAGCCACTTTACTCCCCCGTAATATCTTAAAAGGAAAATGGCACTGGATGCCTGAGAGCAGATGGTTATTAAACATTTGCAACAGTTCGGCCCCCGTGAACAAGGTGCTCACACTGATCCAGAGCTCACTGTGCAGAAAACAATTGCCCAGTAACTTCTGGGTGCTGCCAGCCTGTATGTTAGCTCAGACTTACCTGATCAAAGGGCCATACGGAGTCTATTTTGGGCTTGATTTTGCCTTGACTGTAGAGGTTAACCAGCTTGGCTACAACACCTCCGACAAGCTCAGATTCTTCATCCATATATCCCAGGTGGTAGCCACACACAGCCTTGTTATGGTGGAGGAGCTGCAAGGCATTGATGCTGAACTGGTTCCACCAGGTTTTAGCCATAGCCATGAGGTTCTTCTTCTGCCCAGTGAGCAGGTTCGCTACCCCTAAAAAGAAGGCAAGCCACAGATGAGCTGGAATCAACACAACGGGAGAGGCAGCGGACGTCCTGTGAAGCAGCTCAGGCAATATGCAGAGTCACAGCCGCTCACAGAGTGACGGAGGACAGCGGTGAGAACGGGATCACATCAGGATCTGCCCAGTTGACCTTCAGCGGAAACAGGCACCTGCCTCAGCCTCAAGATATGCAGAATTTGGATTATTGGCACCCATATATTGCAAAAATGTAGAACAACTCCTCTCTTAGGAGGGCAGCAGCAGCGCAGCTCGACTGGAGTGCTGGCAGAGGCCAGAGAGGGTTACCAGCCCCATCCAGGCAGGACAGCACTCCCCTTCTCCCACAGCCAGGCTTTCTCAGGGGAGCCACACGCCGCAGTGGCCGGGACAACAGAAGCAGCACAGTGGTGCGAGTGTCTGGAATCCCACTGGGGGCTGTGTGGGGGCTTTGTCTACAGGACAAAAATCACAGTGTTTCAGGGCTGGGTAATGGAGAGATAAGTATTCAGTAGCCTCAAACCTCATCACCCACACATCCTCTAGGAGAAAAGCAAGGCTCTATTAGTGCTGTGCATTAAGTCAGCCTGGACAAAGCAGCTGTGCCAGCGTTTCTCCGTGAGGACATTCCAGCTTCCCCTGCAGGCACCAGCTCGTACCCGAAGAGAGATCTCGCCACAGGAGGGTAGAGCCTGGGAGCCTGTGACCAGAGCGCTCCGGACAATGCACAGATCTCACTCCCCTCAGTGCCTCACCCAGGCGAAGCACCCTAAGGACCTCTGCAGAATAACGGAACTACACCACACACAGCGCAGTCAGCAACAGCGCTGCTCCCTCGCAGCTGTGCGTCCAGGCACGGAGCAGCGGGGAGCGTTCCCTGCAGATCCACGGCCACCCTGCCATCACAGGTCGCTCCCATGCAGGGGCTGGGGTTTGGGCACGCTGCTCCCACTTACCATAAGTGATGAGTTTGCCCATCGGCTTCAACAGGTTAAATGCTTTGGACGTATCGGATCCTCCCAGGGGGTCCAGGACAATGTCAACACCTAGAGGGAATTGAAAGTAACTACAAGTTTCTTTCCACTTGAAAGAAATGCAGGACAGTTGTAGAAGTTCCCCACCACACAGTACCTTTGGGAGAGATTTTCCGGACCTCCTCTGCATAATCCATTGTTCTGTAATCAATGGGGTGAGCGACTCCGCTCTCCTTGAGGGACTCATGCTTGGAGGCAGATGCTGTGCCAAAAATAGTGACATTTTCTACAGTCTTGCACAGCTGGATGGCAGCAGTTCCCACACCACCTGAAAACCATCAGTGAGAAAGAGTTAGAAGCAAACAGACCAGTGGTCAGAAAAGCCTCTGGAAAGGTAAGTTACCCCTTCCTGTCCGGATGGCACAGTGCCGGGAGGGTAAGGAACAAAGGCTTTGCCTGGCGCTGGCTGACGCCTGTGACACACACTGGGGGAGACCGACCCCGGTTGCCGGGAAATGGGTTCAGCATGTGCCAGCGCCTGGGTCAGCGTGAAGCTTACATCTCTGGCAGGCAACATTTTGTTAGTCCAGCCCCGTTCTGATTGCTTCCCCGCCTGTGCCACCGACTCAGAAGCTGCATGTTGCGGCCAAGAGGTGAGGCCAGCATGGGCTGGCACAAACTGTTTACCTGCAGCCATGTGGATGAGGACACTCTGGTTGGGTCTCAGGTTTCCAAAGTCAAACAGGATCATGTAGGCAGTGATGTAGTTGACAAGAAGAGCAGCCGCTTCCTCGAAGCTCATCCCTTCAGGCATCAGGAAAGTGTGACTGGCTGGCACGTTCACAACTTCTTGCCAGAGCCCTGACCTAGCCAAGACCATTACCTTATCACCAACCTAAAACCAAACAGAGGACAAGGCAGTCTGAAACAAGCCGCAGGCTAGCAGGAATCACCGCACCCTTGCCCTCTGTATGCCGGAGCCAGGTACACGTGTGCCGTTCTCTCTGCGGGGTCTGCAGGGACTGCAGCACCCCAGGCTTGGGCGGGAGCCCGCAGCCTGTGCGCCACTCGTCAGGCAAACCGTCCCACAGCACAGCACCTCTCATCACAGACCTGGGTACACACCAGGAGCCCCAGAGGGACCGCAGGCGCCCCAGACTCCCGCTTGCACCCAGCATGCTGCTTGACAGCCAGCTGCCCAAACCAACGCTCCCCAACGAGGTGAGAGGGATGGGGGCCGTGTCCTGCCCTCCCTGCCCAAGCTGGGAGCAGGAGCCTGAACACCATGAAATATTACTGCTGTCCCTGCAAGCATCATTCCGCCAACAGGCGGGAGGTGTGGGGCAACGCTTAACAGGATCAACCACGGAAAAAGCATGTCCAACCAGAGGAAAACCCCCCAGGACTATGCCTCAGGCCTGAAGCATGAGACATCCCCCAAAGTCTGCTCTTATCCCACTGGGCACGGAACATCTGCTCTCTTTGTAACGGGACAGAGACATCACAACACCAAGCAGTCGTACCAGCAAGCAGACAAGAGGCAGAGCCAAGGCAGTGAGCAGAAAGGCTGCTCGGTGTGTGGGTTTGGCATTTACACTTGAATAAACCAAGATGTTTTCCTGGAGAGGAGGGAATCATCTCTGATACAGCGGGGTTTTTTGAGACACTTTGTTTTGCTGGTTGTGTACCCAAGAATTATCTTAAAGCATCATAATTGCAACAGCTCTAAACCCAAAGGTCTGGCACACACAAAGCTGACTCCTCTGTCCCCCTGTGTTGCTAGAAATGCAGCAGCCACACGCTTGCAGGCCACAAACCCAGCACCAGGAGCAACGAACCTACTCGTGCCCACACCTCAGCACCCTCAGATGGCTCTGGACCCCTCTGCAGCGGCCGGAGCTGTTTCCTTCCACGTTCATGTAATTTAAGAGCTCTGTCACAAACGTATTCTGAAATGGCACAGTCATGCTTTGGCCCAACACCCGCTAGCACTCGCCACAAACAACAAAATTTTGTATGCCCAAATACACCTGCCAGTGCCCACAGAACACGACCGCTTCCAGCTTTTCCCCACAGCTCCAGACCCCGCAGACCCCGGCCCTCAGGGTGGGCGGGCAGCGATGCTCCCGCCGTCCCAGCCCTTCGCGGGGCGAGGGCAGCCGGGCCCCGGGCAGCCGGGCGGGACGGGGATGGGCAGGGACAGGGATGGGGACGGGCGGGGACACCCTGCCCACGCAGCCCCTTTCTCACGGGACTTTGTCCGCTGCTCCGCCGCCGCGGGCGCC